CAAGCTCTTTTATAGATCTCTAAATGATTGGAGAAGGTTACGAGTGATTATCCAGTTGGTTAGAAATCAAAATTCGAAAATCTCGCAGTCAATGTGTGGCGACACAAAGTGTGTCGTTTTAATTAAACATGATCTGACAACACAAATTGTGTCTCAAAATCTATTGTTGACCAAATACAATGAACGAACACAAAATGGTCCAAACAGCACAAACTATGTCGTTTTGGGTCATCTGTCACTTGGGCGAGAAAGTTTCTGTCCCTCTGGTCAAAGTCCACCAGAATCACGAGATTTGATTTTCGTTATCTCTCACGTGTTTTTGGATAATACTTACTTTAATTTTGAAATTAAACATAATCTTTGTCCTTTTCTTTTAGCATTAACATTTTTTATTATTTTGTTTTTAACGTCAACAATTAAAAGTATTTTTAAACACTTTCCTTTTTCATCACCTCTATCTCTGTCTAATTTATATATATATATATATATATTAGTTCAGATTAAACTAACCTCATCCAAAGGACAAAAAAAAAATTTATTTTAATATTTTAAAATTTTTATTTTTTAATTTAAAATTGGTATTTAATTAAAATTTAGTCTTCATTTTCATTTTTATAAGTAAAATTGAATAAAAATAAAAAATGTTTATCAAAAAAAGTTTAGGGGTATCTTGGTTTATTTTTTATTTAAATATTTTTTAATAATTTTTATTTAGCTGTATTTATAAAAAAGCTCACACCCTAAAATATAGATAAATATTGTATTTAAATAAATAAAAAAACAAAATATGAGATTAATACTTGACCACTAGATATGACCATGTGAAATCTCAGCCATTGGAGAGGTGCTCCTTCCAGTCCACGGAATACTTTGCCAGTTTGCCTGAAAGCCCATTAATACGGTCATCGTGCTATGTGTTATACATAAAAGTGTTTCAATCCTAAAAAGGATGGCGATTTAGGCGAAGTTCTTTAAGGAAATCTGAGAGATAAATGTGTGTAATGTGATCCGGATGAATCATACAATACTCATACTCGGTACAAAGTCTAATGTTAAATTTACCTTTGCTTCCCATCCAAGTTACAAAAGAAACTGTCTTTCCTGCTTGAAGCTTACCCTTTTCTCTCCCCCTTCCCCTTTTTCTCTCTCAAAAAAAAAAAATCCTCACGTACCTACTTATTAGAGATGCTTAGTGGTTGCACTGTCTACCTCTATTGTGAGATTTATTCATGTAGGGTGCTGTTATGTGGAGAGATTAGTTAATAGGTGATGGCAATTGGTGATTGGATTATAATATATATTTCCTGTGCAAGAATTGTCCATGGTACAAGTTCCTTTTTTTTTTTTTATTTAGTTACTTGTGTGATAAGCAGATTAAGATTATTTCATGAATTGATTTCTTTTCTTATAGATCCAATATAGTCTTGTTTTGAATTTCAAAGTTCTTGTGATGTAATGTTAGTTAGCCCCATTTTTGAATGGTTAGTTGGCGCTTGGTGGATTATATACCTGATAACGATTTGCTTTTTTAAGTTTTTATGAATGGTTCCTGATTTGTACAGAAGTTATTAATCCCATTGAAGATGAGAGAGTATCAAGGGCATCTATAATTTGGAAAGAATGGTAATCTTTGACCGTTACCTTTACCTGCGAAGATAGTTCCTTGCGATTTCTTTCTTCATCTTTCAAGTCCCTATAACTTATTTGTTTCCTACTAAGATGTCAGAAGGCATAACGAGTAAGTATATAACTAAAACCTCAGTGTGACTCGGGGACTGTATCATGAAATTAATTTATTCTCGATTGTTTTATTTTTTTGAAAATTATTGCAGATTTTTTATGCAGCAGCAAGAAGTCTACGTGCAATTTGTGACTGGGGGTCTCTATCATGAAATTACTTTATTCTCAGTTGCTTTATTTTTTAAAAAAAATTTGCAGATTTTTGATGCAGCAGTAAGAAGTATACGTTCAATCAGTGGTCCCTTAAAATTAGAGTTTCCACTTCCAGAACGTTCAGATCCAAACTCATTGAGACCGGGTTCTCTTGCTACATACTTGAGTGCATCTAAAACACCTGCACTTAAGAAACCTCCAGGTCTTGATGCTGCTGCTGTTGCTGGTGCTAGGCCTGCTGCTTCTCAATTTAGTTCTAGAGGCAGCCAATATCGTGATGGATCAAGGCAAGCTTTTACTGCGGCTATTTAGGCCAAGAGGCCACCAATATTGTAATGGATCAAGGCAAGTCAATATGAGAGCTAGGTGGGAACCTAAGGTCTTTGTATTACACATGTTCAGGTGTCAGGTCACCATTAACATCAGGCATGAAATCCGATAGCTTAAAATATGACACAGTTTAAAAAATTTTATTTTGAATTTTGTGTCCGGTCAATGTAATTTTATTTTAGTTTAAGTGTATAGCATTTTTTTAATCCTTTTTAGGGGATTGCCACCCTGTTTTTGCACCCCTCAGCTTTTGTACTTGGAGCCCTTTCTGAGGGTTCCTTTCTTTGCCTCATACCGATGTACCTTTACTCCGTTTTGCAATACAACAGTTAATGTTCTAAAAAAAAACAAAGATACACTCTTAGCCATTAAATTTCACATTTAATAGTTGAAAATGATTGTGCTTTACTTATACTAAAAGTAAATAGTCTTATTATATATGTTTCTTTTGTGTTATTTTGATCAATTTATTTATTTATTTATAGACTACCTTATTAGATTTTCTTTAGGTACTTGGCAGATACTTCGCTAGTACAATGTAGATTTTTACTTGATTGATTTTAAGATACCTCCAATCTCACTTTAGATTGTAGAACTAAAATAGAGGTAGGAAGCAAAACGCCATCTTAATAAAATTATTTGACCTCAAAAATTCCCTGATTGTTTTTATTCATATCTATGACTAACATATGAAAGAAAATGAGGTATAGCTTAAAGAAATTTCCAAAGTAAATGGCCACTACAAAATTGACTCTGGACTGTCTATTTGATAGATAAACCAATGAAGGTTTTTAGTAGCACACTAGAAATCTTCCCATGTTATTAGGTATTTAGGGCAAGGAAGAAGTGTAGAATGTGCTTCTGTATTCCTAAGATAACCATTCTTGGGTAAAAGAAAAATCTGACCAAACTTGGGAGGGGCAATGTAATACTTGGATCCCCAAATTGATTCAAGTACCTTCAAACCATTCACTCACTTTTACTTTTCGTTAGTGCAATTTTTGGAGAATATATTGCACTTCTTTTAAGGGCACATATTGGTGAAAACTTTTATGAAAATTTTTATTAAATCAAGATTCATAATTTACTTTCACTTTTATTATGCTTATTTCTAAACCAAAATTCAAATATATTAAATCAATGAAGACATAAATTTATAGGGAATACCTCTTTTTAAAAAAAAGAAAAGATGAAAATGTGGATTTATCTCAGTTCTATTGAAAAAACATGAGTTTTTTAATGTCTTTTGAAAAACTCAAAACTCTTAATAGATTTCCAAAAATCGGATATTTTTTGAAAAATCGTATTTTAAAACATATACTTGCTATATGGTAGAGAGTTGAGAATTTTGCAAGAAGAAAAAAAAAATTGATTATCAATTAGTAACTTTAAGAAAAGTGATGTTAATCTCTTTAAAGTCTACTTTTGATCATCTATCAAATGGACACTTTGCGTCCAATGTTGGAGACATTATTTGAACCATTTTGAGGGGAACTAGGAAAAATATCTCCATACTTTATGGTTTTAAGTTTCATTTCACAATAAATCCAAGGTTTTAAAAAATATATTGAGACATAAAAATTATAGATTTTATTTCTTCTAACCTCTTAAGTCAATTTAAATTTGTATTTTTGAGCCAAACAAATCTAAAAAGACATACTTTTTTTAAAAGCCATCCTTCCAAACTTCTAGAGAGAGAGAAGGGATTCATAGAGGTGAAAGGTTACCAAGAGGAGAGAGATAACTATTTGGAGAAATACAGGAGGAGAGAGAGTGAGAGACACAGAAAGAGAGAGAAAGAGAGAAGTTTGAGATATATAGGTGAAGAGAGAGAAAGGATTGGGTTTAAAAAGAATATGCATTTCCTACATTTGTTTAGGTTAAAAAATAGGTTTAAAATGGCCAAAGTTTAGAAGATATTTTTTGAAACCTTGGGTTTACGAAGAAATAAAACCCAAACATATGGGATATGGAGATATTTTCCCTATCTTAATAATACAAATCTTTGAGATGAATGCGATATGGAAATTTTAGAATCTAACAAATATTTGAAATTCGATGATCCACATTAGGAATCGTTGATCCAGATTGAGAATGGACTAGGACAGGAACGGTGTTTGGGCGTTATACGCCCATGCCTGGCCCCATATAATATAAAAAAGTAAATAAATATTAAAAACTTAGAATAATAATTCTATTAAAAAACATTTAGATCGTTAGTTTCAATTATTTTTAGATGGAGGTAACAATCATACCCGCTCATTAGATGCCTTAGAGTGAGTCATGAAGTTCTAGAATTTTGTTTTAGAACTTTATGTCTATTCAATAACACCCTTACAACCACTCATTTTAAGAGACAATAATGATTGTGCCCTCAATGTACAAAAGATAAAGGAAAAAATTTATATAGCCTCAAATTTGAGCTCACTTCAAAAATTTTACTAAAAGAGGTCATTTTGATGCCTAAATATTCTCAAATTGATCATCTCGACATCAAGATGTATGGACATGAGAAAAAAAATAGATTACAAGTTTTAAAAATAGTGCATCTAGTAACACATTTTAGGACTGTCAATTTTTAAGCTTTTACCTGTGTGCTCCATCTTTATTATTTTTAAAACTTTAAATTTTATAATTAAAAATAAAAATATATTTTAAAAATATCACAAACATTTTTAAATCCATACAAACCGCACTAAAAAATAAATGCTCTCTTAGTATATAATCCCTCGCATCTATGGGCCATATCTCATCTAACAATTTTCCCATACATGATAAATCCTGACGTCATTCGTACCAATCTCAAACGAGGGATCCAACTGCACCCCTCTCGCCCTCTAAATCTACATATTGCCCCTTTCTGGTTTGTACTTTGTACAAACTCTCTCTCTAGATCCACACCTTTGTTATCTCTCTCTCTCCTCCCCATTACCAAACCACTCTTCAGAATTTGGGGAGACTTGGGTTCTCTGATTTTTGGGTGAGATGGGTTCTCAAGAGGAGGAGAGGCTGCTTGATGAATCTCTGCTTGAAGATGGTACTTTAAAGGTCAGATTTTGTTTTATGATCTTCTTTTCAAGTTGTCCACTGATGAACCCAATCTTTCTCTCTCTAGAGGTTACTGGACTGTTTTTTGGATTATCTCTATGTTTTCCTGCCTTCCTTTAGTTTAGATGAATTCTACTTATCATTTCCCCTTTCTCTTGGAGATATTTGCCATCTGAAAATTGAAATATCCATATAGAACATTGCTTTTGAGGTCGGAAACATTATTAATTCACACCTAAATAATTTCTCCAAAATTTGAGAAAAATTGAATCTTTGTTAACCCATCCTAAAGAGATTTCCCCAAAAATTTCAGAGAACACATGGGTTTTCCTAAAATTCCACATCTTTCTTATTTGGGTCATGTTCTGATTTGGATCTATTTGTTCACATTATTGTGTAAAGGCTTTGACGATGATGATGATGATGTTGATTAGGTCACTGAGAATTCCCCCCCTCTGTTTCCTTTTTAGCATGATAAAGTAAGTTCTCGGCTTCTGCTTTTTTTCTCATATGGAAATTAACTTGCTTCTCATGACTGAAGAGAAGGGCTAAGGCTGTGAAGTCTTCCAAATAGGACGGGACGAATAAAAGTACAAGATTTCCTCCAAATAGAATTGAAGAAATATGGATCTTTCTCGTATGGGTGATTTGTAGGGGAGCAATTTATTTTCAAACTAGTTTTATTTTTCCAGAGAGGGAATTTTATCTCTCTGTTTTTTTTCTCGTTTTCTCCATATTTTTTAGCTTTTCATGCATTATGATTACATGAGTGAAAATGTAATTTGCTGGTCATGTGATTGCTTATGGCGGTCAAAAGTTTTAAATAGAGTTTAAAAGAATTATTAGGCCTTTGTGAAGCTTAACTTTGGATGATCTTTGATTGTTGACGAAAGTGGGGGATTGTTTTTAATAAGATATTTGTCCTCTTATAGTAGGATGGTCCTTAATACTTCGTTTGTACCCGTAGAAGCAAGTCATTGTTGTTTGGGCTAAACCAATGAAGTAGACATATTTGGATAGGATGGTTCCATGGGTTTGGTTCTAGCCTACTCCTCATGAAGTTACTTTGCACTATTCTCACAAAACCATGTTTCAACCTCTTGCTATGGTTTTAGTCCTTGAGTCAGCACACTGATGTGTAGTAGAGATATGGCTGAAACAATGTTCGAAAATTCATCCTTCAGGCCGCCTATATGGGACCTGGGGGGCACCTGGGCGTCCTTGCTCCTAGGTTTGCCGCCTAGGTGGGAGCCTTGGTACAACTTGGTTGAGGGCAGAAAAACGCAATTGGCCAAGGGGAAAAAAAGTACTCTCCCCACTCCCTCCTCCCTCCACACAAAAAGGGGGAAAAGTTTTTTTTTTTTTTGGGAGGTGGGGGTGGGGGGTGGGGGGTTGCTGGGCTGTGCAATCTAGCCCACGAAATCCTGAAAAAGAGTACACCCTCTTACTAAACTTATTAAGGAGGGCTTACAAGCTTTGGGATCATATCACTGATTTTTGGCTGCTCTAATGGGAACTCATGGTAAGCTGGGGGCATGTAATACTTAATTTAAGGAATTGAGTTGTGATTTCATTGATTATTTCAGAAATATGGCTTTTTATTTCTTTAAACATGATTTTGAGATTATTGTTGATGCTACAAAGGACCAATCTTGAGGATATGTGGTACTAAATGTGCAAGGGAACCCTCACATATTAGGGTTAGTTGATTGTTTTAGTTGGATGGCAGATTAATTAGAAGAAAATTAAGAAATGTGGCTAAGTGCCACAAAAAATTATAAGAAATTTGACTACGGATCAGTGCAATGTATGGTTTCCTATTATGTAACAAAGAATATGTTTGAAAAAGTAAAAAAATATTTTGTATATTCCGTCATATATGTATTTGAAGTGATTGGGATATTGTTGTTTGAAATAAATAGGCTATCGCTCAGAAAAAAAAAATGCCTATGTTAGAATTAAATAGATTAGAGCCAAGGTGCACGGTGACCGCCTAGGCATCCGCATCCTTTTTTTTTTAACATAGGGCCGAAAGATTCAAAACCTTTTGTGAAGTTGCAATTAACGTTAATTTGCTTCACTTCTGCTTTATAAAAGAAATGTATTATGAGAAAATTGGGATCTTTTGGTGTTATTACTGTATAACAGTGTAGAGAAAGGGCAAATGACTCCCAAGAACTTTAATGAGTGCTCAATGCTAGTGAAGTATTGTTTGATGATCAGGAAGTTGAGGAAGATGTTTACTATTGCATGTACAAAAAAAAGGTTTCATTCCTGTAAGACTAAAACCCTGCATGACCTTTTTTTATGGATAATTTGATCTCAGTTCTTTTGAAAGCTAAAACAATCAATAATAACAAAAATAAATAAAAACTAAGTAAACAGCCCATGTCACTTATTAGTGATGATCGGCCCTTTTGGTTATGAGATTTGTACCATTGGGAGTACAAAAGTGTCTGCATGGTTTAGGTTTTTGTTTTCTCAATGTGGGATATATGGCAGGAAAACCTTGAGTCATTAGATCCAGTGAGAACTCTAATGGTGGAGTTTGCTTTTACGGGATTACTGAAACTGATTCTTTTGCTCCACAAGGAGCACAACCTCCAAGCTGATCTTTTGTTTGGCATTAGTCGGGATTTGGTACCACTGGGTATAGATATATGGAATTTTTATTTGTTACTTGTCTTAGATTTATTTTCTGTCATAGAATTCTTCAATTCTTTGACCTATGGAGTGACTTCTTATTTGGCCATTTAATGGAAAAATATTATTAGAAAATGAATGTCAAGCTTTAAGATGAAGGTTGGAAGTTTGGAAATTGAATGCCCATTTATTTTTTGGTTTATGCTTTAGCTTCCTAATATCTCCTTTTTCTTGTACTCAGAGTGAAAGTCTAGGGCCATACACAGGGGATGGATCTGTTGACCTTCATGGAAACCGTGTCTTACGGCACAATACTGGCAACTGGAAAGCTTGCCCCTTTATTTTAGGTATTCCTTCTTAAAACAATGTGTTTTGTAAATTTCTCATGCCCTTCTGCCTTTTCTCTTTTTGTTGGTCATAGACATTGAGATTGCTAATTGACTTTGTTCAGGAACGGAGTGCTGTGAGCGCTTGGCCTACTATGGGATTTCTACAAATCTGGTCACTTATCTCACTAAAATCCTTCATGAAGGTAATGTATCTGCCGCCCGAAATGTTACCACTTGGCAAGGTACATGTTACCTCACTCCCCTTCTTGGAGCTTTATTGGCTGATGCAATTTGGGGAAGATATCGGACAATTGCGGTGTTCTCTACAATTTACTTCATTGTACGTATGAACTAATAAAAATCCAACTGGCCCACTTAGCCCCTCTCTCTCTCTCTCTC